AGCACCAACGGTAACAAGTTTGAAATAGCTGTTGGGAGCTACCTGACGAAGGGGGTTGCAGTGGGCCCACCATAGGTGTGGGTGCACCCTGCAGGTGGCCGTTGGCTAGGCGCCTTTGCCAACGGCTCCTAGCCGTTGCCCTCTGCCTCCCTAGGATGGTGCTTCACGCTATAAATACCGAGAGCCAGGGTTGAGGCTCTCCTCACCCTCACACTATCCTTTTCCACTCCCTCTCACTCTCTCTTGCTCTATCACTTGCAAAAAATATTTTTCCACAAAGCTCAAGAGCAAGGAAACTCTATAGAAAATTCCTAAGCTCATCACCACCAAGCCAAGCTCACGGGTTGTTCGTTCTGTTTTCACTAACATAACCCCATTTGCGAGTTTTGTTGTTGTCCCTTTCACCATGGGCAAGTTCCGGAGGAAGCTCGCCGGCGCTTTGAAGAAGGCCATAGGAGCGAGCTCAAGTCGCTCCCATGGAAGTTCAAGCGCGCGCTACACCGAGCCCGAAGAGAGCCCGATGCATGAAGACGAAGAAACGGTGCCAATGGAAGAAGAAGAGCAAAATTAAGAGCAACCAATGGAGGAAGGCGATGATGATCCACACCTTGATTTGGAGGGAGCCCGGGAGACGCAAGCGTACAACCTCATCAAGAATCGCGGGTTCGTCCACACGCCGGCATATGACCCTGACCTTCTCCAAAAGATAGGTATGTACACCGAATTTGCCACCATCTAGAAAGCCGTTGGATGCGAGAATGTTGCTCCCATCAACGAGCTTGGTTCTTGCCTCTTAACAATTCAAAGCCGTGCTGGTTTCTACCATCAGCTGATCAAGCTTTCGGCGGGACCAAGCCGGCCTTGTACGTGATATGCTTGCGGCCAAGATCCCCACAATCATGCGTTGGTGGAGCATTTGGATTTGGAGTTCCCATTCCCTGTTGATGATGTGCCGGCCCGCGGAGACGACGAACACTACATTTGGAGATGACCAAGGCAATGATGAAGATTGACAACACTTTCATCGTCAATAGGGTGCTGGTAGCGTACGCGCAAGCGTATCAAGCCAAGCCGATGAAGCCGGTGGCCATGCAAAAATAGAGCGCTGTCCGATCCAGTATTTTGCCTGTTCCTTCTTTGCTTTGCACTGGGTTCGAAAATCCAAAGAGCATGGACGAGCCTCTGCTCTGTCCCTGCCACGTTACTTCCTTCCTGCCCTATCCTGTATGTCTTGGAATCGATGTGAAGGAGCAGCCCATGGAGGCATTTCTGTTTAGTCTCCAAAGAAGCACGTGCACGTCTTTGGTTAATTTGCATACTTTCCGATGTATACCAACAGGCAATCTTGCCTATTATTATAATCCGGCTCCTCTGAGACCTGCCTTGCATCACCTCTGTATGGATAAACCTTTCCTTTAGCTTTTCCTCACGTAAACGACTATGCTGGCAAGAATACTGCAGACCTCTTGATATGTCAAATATGTCAATTTCCCATCTCATGAATCATCAGCCGTGCCCTGAAGTTAATGCTGACGGAGAGTCCTGGAGCCGATGGAGGCAAGGGAACTTCTGATGACGTACTTCGATGATGAACCACGACATGCATGCATATTCTATAATTATCTTGCTTTCTTTTCCTTCACGCATGCATTCACCTGGAGACATGTTCCCGTATGTACGCCACATGCCTCTCAACTCGGCCTCTAGGCCTCGGCTTCCTTCGGCTTATAGAATCATCACCATTTGAACAACACATAGCCAATACATACACTACAAGAAACTTGTTAATCCGTGACGATTTCTTGCTGACGGATTTACAAACCGTCACTGACAGCCACTGACAGATGTAATCGGTGACGATATTCATTTTTTCGTCATGGATGAGCCCACTGGATATTCCCAGCCCGTTAACTCGTGACGGTTTTATCAAGATCGTCACAGTGTATGATTTTGAATTCGTCATACGCTAGTTAGTCCAAGACAGTTGGCCCGCTATCAATATTTAGTGTAAAGAAAAGTAGAAAATGTGATTGCAAAAAGTATCAAACCCAAAAGACAATTTGTTAAATTATTTGAACAAAATAATTTTGTTACTTTGTTACATGTTTTTTTTTGGCAAAATTAAAAATGTTCTCCATTTATTGTGGATGGGAACAAAAAACTTTACACCTATAACTATATATATGGGATTTGAACACAAGACTTGCAAAAAAATAGAAACATGTCTTACCATTTGAGGTACTTACACTACATGTCTAAATGTGCACTTAAGTATTTTTATTTATTTACCGGCCCAGCATCACAGTAGGCCTGGGTCATTCACTCGCCTGGGTCATTCCCGCACACGGCGTGGCAAAATGACAAAAAAAGGAATCTCCAGGAATTGAACCCTGATCCTAGGTGTTGAAAATAATATGCCTTACCATTGCGCTAGCTGCTCCAGTGTGACAGAACATGATTCTATTAGCCTTTTGTTGGCGGGAGTGGCCCAACATTAGGTAAATAGGGAAAATAGAAAAAAAGAGTGGAGTCCGTGGGAATCGATCCCACAACCTGCGAGTTGACAACAATCTGCCTCACCACTGTGCTAGCAACTTGTGTGTGACCGAGTACAATTCTGTTTCTTTTTGTTGATGAATGTAGGAGTAAGTTTCCCCTTGACTCAATTCCTTCACGGACTCAGTTAGACACTAGCCGCGATTCAGAGACTCAGCCACCGCCGCTGGACTCAAACACTGCCGCCGACGGCGAGATTAGGCAAGAGCCGTGCCGTTGCCCACCACCGCCGCGCCGTCCACACCGTCGCCTCCTCGTTTGCCGCGTCCTCCCGCATCACCGCTGCACACCAGCAACATCTCGCATCACCGCCGCCCTTCAAGGCTCCAACCCTATCTTGTAGCTCCGCAGCGCCGCTACCCTCCATTGCCGCACCAATGAGAGATGCCGAGTGCGGCCATGCATCCACCTGGTGACAAATCCAACTATTGAGTGGACTCCTACGGCCTCGAGCACGCCTGAAATCGTCAAACGCTAAGCAGCTGCCTCCTCTCCGAGGGGATCCCCATCTGCCTCACCTGAACTCCTACTGACAGCCAAGGTATATATCTCTTCTCTTTTTTTTGTTGATTTTGTTGGATGTAGCATTTGAATTATAGCAGTTAGCTCATTGTGGTTTATCTGCGACGTTTGATTAGATGGATAGAAGTTGGGTGCATAGCAAACTATTTTCCCCTGAATACATTGACGGTGTGAAAGAATTTATGAATTTAATTCAGGGGAAATTCAATGAGAATGTTGAAATTCTATGCCCCTGTAGCAGATGCCTCAATCAGAAGTGCCGAAAACAGGATGTTGTGAGGAAGCATATACTGATGAATGGCATGGAAACTACTTATATTCGGTGGATTCATCACAGAGAGAGCTTAGATGTCAATGTTATTGAGCATCCTATTGATATGCATGAAGATGATGATGGTTCCACACATGGGGTCGGTGTGACAGAGGATGACAACTATGGTGATCGTTTGGAAGGGATTTTAGGAGACCTACAGAATGCAGCGGCACAGGCAAGGCCGGATGTAGAAAATGAAGTTGGTGCTGAAGAACCTTGTGATAAAGAGTCATTTTTGAAAACTGTCATGAGAGAGGCAAAGCGCCAACTTTATCCTGGATGTTCCAAATTTTCAAGATTCTCTTTGGTGGTAAGGCTTCTACATATGAAGTCATTATATAGAATTAGCAATTCTGCTTTTACTGCACACATGAAGGTATTGGCTGATGCTTTCCCAGAACACAATACACTCCCAAAATCATATGATGAAGCAAAGGGTATTCTAAAGGAACTAGGTCTAGGGTATGAATCAATACATATGTGCTACAATAATTGTGTGTTGTTCCGAAAGGAATATGACAAGCATGACAATTGCCCGGTTTGTGGTCTCTCGAGATGGAAAGATGCAGAAAGAAAGAAGATTCCACAAAAAGTGTTGCGGCATTTTCCATTGGCACCTAGGCTAAAGAGGATGTTTTCGACCAAAGAAGCATCAGAAGCGGCACAATGGCACAAGTTAAAGCGGTAGCCCAATGAGAAGAATATGAGCCACCCAGCTGATGGTGAGGCATGGCAAGATTTCGACCTCGAATATCTAGATTTTGCAAAGGATCCAAGAAACCTTAGACTTGGCCTAGCTACTGATGGGTTCAATTCCTTTTCAGAAAAGAACACAAAATATAGCATGTGGCCTGTGCTTGTTGTGCCATACAACCTAGCACCGTGGGAGTGCATGGAGGAATCAAACTTTATGATGGCTTTGCTTATTCCAGGTCTGAAATCACCCGGGAAGGACTTCGATGTATTTCTATAGCCTCTTGTAGAGGATTTACTTGAGCTTTGGATAGGTGTCGATACTTATGATGCTATTACTGGCAAATCATTTAAACTTCGTGGTCTGCAGCTTTGTGGTGCATCCATGATTACCAGGCGTTGAGCACTCTCTCGTATGCATACAACAAAGGGCTATTTTGCTTGTCTCCATTGTGACAAGCATCCTCTTTCATATGCCCTAAGAAGCAAAATTGGTTATTTTGGGCACTTCCGTTTCCTTCCAAAGGAACATTCTTTGAGGAGAAACAATGAGTTTATCGGACTTCATGAAAGCAACGATCCACCGGGTAAATTCTGTACGGAAGAGCTACTGGCAGAATTAGAGAGAGTTAAAGACGCCGGACCCTAGAAGCCACAAGGAACTGGGAAAGGAAGCGTTCCAACTCAAAGGCGGTCATGTGGAAATTTGGAGCCGGATGGTTAGTTTTTGGAAGTTACCATATTGGAAAAAGCTAAAGGTGAGACATAATCTTGATGTGATGCACATTGAAAAAAACATATGTGAGAACCTAATTGGGACAATTCTCAATGTAAAGGGCAAGACAAAAGACACTAACTAAAGCTAGGCTTGATTTGAAAGATTTGGGTATTAAAAAGGAGCTGCAATTTAGAGAGGATGGAGAGATGCCTCATGCTAGATATACCTTGTCCACCTGAATGTAAGAAGGCTTTCTCGTGCTTTTTTTACAGGAGGTAAAGTTTCCAGATGGATTTATGGCCAACATCTCAAGATGTTTAAATGCTTTGAGGAACAACGATACAAGGGCTAAAAACACATGATTGTCACATTCTTTTGCAAAGAATTTTGCCACCGCCATGAGAGGATTTACGGACAAGGATATTTATGAAGCAATAGCTGAGTTAGGGAGGTTTTTAGGGAATTGTGCAAAGCAGAACGCTTAACAAGGATGTGCTAGTTCAAATGAAGAAAGAAATCCCTATAATTTTGGTGAAGCTTGAGAAAATTTCCCTCCAACTTTCTTTTTGATGTGATGATACACCTTGTCAGACATTTACACGATGAGGCATTGCTCGGGGTCCTGTGCAATATGGGTGGATGTACCCAATTGAAAGGCGGCTATATACTTTGAAGCGATATGTGAGGAATAGGTCACGGCCGGAAGGTTCAATTGTTTGAGGCATATATTGCTGATGAGTGTCGACATTTTGCTCTAAATACATGGACGATGTTGAAACAAGATTTAATCGGGAGCCAAGAAATAAAGGTTTCTCCAATGAAGAAGCTTATGGTGTTGATGTTTTTGGGCATGGAGTTAATTTTACTTCACTTTTTGAATATGTATATGATGAAAATGGCATTGATCAAATGGTGTGGTTTGTGCTGAACAACTGTGCCCAAGTTGAGGATTACGTGAAAATGGCATTGATCAAATGGTGTCATTCGTGAAACCTAACACTCTATATATATATGTGTGGATCATATGTTGCTAGTTGTTTGGCCTGATTTACTAATTCAAAAAAAAATTCTTCTCTTCTTTTGTATGTCAGCATGTATCATAGATATCCCAAATATTTAGGGGGCTTCAGTTCTAGTTTGTTTTACAGAAATGTTAATGTGAATCCCTGCTGTAGAGTATTCAACATAGTTTGGGATGCTTTGATTCAGTCATTCTGGTGTTCCAAAATTATTTCTTGTTACACAAACTTTCACTGAAGTACTGATGCTTTGATTCAGTCATTTTGGTTGTGAACTATATAATATTATTGATATGTTGGTCTTGTTTTTTTTCATCTTGTTACCAGGGCTGCTTCCAATTGAAATGGAGCGCCTGAGAGAATGCATGAAGAACAGTGCAAGGCTGAAGGAACTTGGACTTGCTGATCCCTATGCCAAAATGTTGGCCGAGTACGGCCTGCAGGATAATACTGATGAAGGAGATTTGATTGACGATGAGAATTCTAAGGTCCTAATTCCTCCATGTTGTCAAGTCTTAACTTGTTCTTCTTCCCTTCCTAATTCAATCTAACTCTAATGCTATGTGGACTAATACATGCTTTCATTTCTAACAGTGCTCTAAGGAGAAGACTCACAAGAAAACTAACAACCAACCTTCAAGAATCCACCCTGGTGGAGTCAAGTTTCAGTCTCGCAAGAGAGTTTTTGCAGACCAAACATCTCCTAGAGTTACAAGGACAAAGAAAAACAATGCCCAGCAAGATGCAAGGCTAACACCAAGTGAAATTTCTGTGCCACCTCCATCGCAAGCTAATGAGAGCCACGCTGGAGAACTTGTTGGCAACTTAGATGACCAAGCACAGGATGCTGTTGAAGGCCAGTTCTACTGCCACATTACTTAGTCTCACTCCATTACCATGACTCAGCTATGAAAAATGTTTAACTTGATCTATGAAGTTTGTCTATGTGTTGTACCTGTTTATCCAAGTTTAATGCTTGTTTAGCTTGTGAAAATGTTAACTAGAGTTTTAGGTATAAAAGATCCATGAAACCAATTTTCACTATTTTTTGAAATCTGTTGTTTGACACTAAAAAGTGGGCTGAACTTGTTTAAGTGGGTCTAAACTTGTTTTGTTTCTCCTTTTTGTATGATGCTTTATATATCCAAATCTGAATCCCCTCAAAAAAAAAATATATATGTATCCAAATCTGATGTAATTTATGCAATGTGCTATTTATAGCATGTATGTACTTCTTAATTTGTCTGGGCATCAGATTTGTATAGCAGATGACCTTTTCCTTTGTGTGCCTTGTTTACTAGGTAACATGATGAACTAACCTTTAATTATTGCCAATAATTTTAGGTAATAACTCTGCTCTACTTGACAACACACACATGACCACTGGGGCTGATGCAATTGACTGGCCTAATCAGCATAGCCGAATGGATGATGGAGGTGATGGTTTCTTACTGTCATTCTATAAGTTAGGTTTATATGATGAATGCATTCTTACTGGCTGCCCTTTTTAGATGGCTTTGCCCAGCATGATGACAACACCATCGTGGCTGGTATAGCTGATGGCATTACCCAACATGGCGACGACAACTAGATTGCCAACGAAGGTGATAGTTTGTTCATCTATTTTTCATATTCCATATTGCCTCAATGGATCAATGTTTGCTTCACCTACTTAATTTTAATTTCAATGTACATTTACAACTAGGGGGAGAGGAGAGAAGGGACCGGGGACATAATATGGGACTTGGTCTCCAAAGGTTAAACCGAGCGTGCCGTGGCAAGCTGCAAGTTGTCATAACTGAAGGGCATATAAGGCCGGTGGTTCCTCTTGTTGTTGCAAAGTTTGCAAGTGAATGCAACATCATAGTTAGGAACCATGTGCCTATACTCCCGCATTGGAAGCTGTACAAGAAAAAACCTGCATCAAGTTCAAAGGAGAAAGAACCAAAAGAGAAAGAACCAAACGAGAAAGAACCAAAAGAGAAAGAACCTACATCTGCGTATGTTGATTTATTCTTAGGAAAACTAAAGGTACATACATTCTTTGGCCCCTTCCACATTTAGTCTCAATATAAGAACCATTGTTTGTTGTTTTATGCCATAAGTTACTGAATTGATATTCTTTTCTACACGTGTTCTTCCATTCAATTAGGCCAAGTTTGACATAAACACAGAGGATAACACAGTTAAAAAGGGTTGTATTGAGATGATGCAATCTGCGGTCCGCCAACAAAGATACAGGCTGAAGGCAGAATATTTTGATCCTTTTCCACTACATTTGGTTACAAAAACTTCTCCTGTCAAATGCATGACTGATGAATAGTGGCTTAAACTTTTAGAATCATGGAAGAGTCCTAAAAAGATGGTATGTTTTCTCTGAAAAACCAAAATGATGCCTTGTACATGCTAATCTATCACCAACCTTACATGCATTTTTTGTCTTTGATGTAGGAGATGTGTCAAAAGAACAAAGACAACCGAGGGAAAGTTAAGTACCATCACACAACCGGATCCCGTGCCTACATGGTTCATGTTGAGAATTTGGTAAGTGAGCCATGTTAAACACCTTGTAAATAAATGTATGCAACTGTTACTTAAGCATGCTGGGGGATAAAGCTCTCTATATGAAGCTCATCAATAATTTTCATATTGCTGAAATGTTTTCTCACTTTACATAAGGGAATTTGAGATGTATTGATTTATGTAAGAACACAACTACTTGTCATGCTGTCTTTGCTCTAATGTAAGGATAAGTTTACGAATATTGTGTTTTTAACATGTTGTGCTCTTGTGATGACAATATTAAGCATATTTTATCTTCCCAAGCCTTTAGAGCCTCACCAGATAATTGTAGCCTTGTTGCTTTCACATGTATCGATTCCCAACATATTTGTAGATGTCCTCTTCATGAGGCTTTGTATGATGTAAACCAGAGTGGTTCTCCTTGTTGTAGCAGCAATTTTGTCGCTAATCAATAAAGGTTCCTTTGTCATAAAAAAATATTAAGCTTCCTTTGCTATTAACCACCATATTAAGCTATTTGTAACATGTCACTTTGCATATGCTATTGTAACAAGCTACTGCTGCTATTTTTTAGATTTGTCTTTGTATAATTTGGTACAAGCTACTGGTGCTATTGTAATAAGCTACTGCTGTTATTGTAACCAAGAATCGTCTTTTTTTAGTTGGACATGTTCTTCCAGATTTTTAGTTGAACAAAGAATTATTCGTGTTAATCCTATTTATAGTTGAACATGTTCTTCTAGATTTTTAGTTGAATAGTAGCTGTCCAAAATTTTGTAACATCTTAATTCATGTCGGACCTAATGCATATATGTTGTTCTCAGGATGACAAATATAATGATGAAGAACCTAATGCATTTGATTTGTTCAAGGAGTGCCACTACAGCAAAAAAAATGCTACACCCCTATTGTACAAGAGGCTATTGTAAGATAATTTTCAGACTTTGATCTTTGTATTTTTAATTCTCTCAACATCAACCATCTTTGCTACTTGTTTGCTAGACTCAGATGAAAAACAAGCTATCTACAACAACAGAAGGTGAAGAACTTAAGTCTGCGGCTCAAGTTGTTGCTGATGTGCTTGCTGAGAACACCAAAAAGAATCAATTCTTGTAGAATGTGGGGTACCAGAATGCCCGGCGTATTTCCAATGAGCAGAGCGCTGAACTGGAAGCGGAGAAAAAGACCAATGCTGAGCTTCGTGTACAAGTGGTTGATTTGTCAAATAAAGTGCAAGAATCTGAGCAGGCAAGGATTATTGACCGAGAGGAGATGAAGAGGAGTCAATCTGAGATGGAAGCAAAACTTAACCTTTTACTTAGTCAAATTCGACCAAGTTAAGACGTGCATGGTGCATATCTTTTGCCACTAACTTGATGCATTTTGCTGCTGCTAACTTGTGTCAAGTCAATTTCGACCAAGTTAAGCGATACATGGTGGTATATATTTTGTTGCTGCTGCTCGCATTTTGCTGTTGCTGCTACATGCATCAAGCTGCTGGGCTTCTATGCATTCTGTGTTGTTGGCTTGTGCCATGGTAAACTATATGGCTGTATGCACTTCTGTATGTTAATTATTGTTGGATGAATACTTGTAATCTGATGTTGGTTGCAAATTTATGTGATATATTGTTGGATGGAAATATGAGTTATTTTATTTAATGTGTGGGCTGTGTATTATTTTATTTAATGTGTGGGCTGTGTATATTGTTGCAACAGTAATTATTTGAGCTGTGTGTGGGCTGTGTATATGGGCTATATGTGCTGTAGTAGTGGACTGAAAAGTGGGCTAAAAATTAGTGATGAATTTGGGTTGCAATATGCTGAAATGGGCCTATGAAAATGGCTGAAAATTTGATGCGAAAATGGCTGAAATTGGGCTAAACTTGGCCCATCTTTGATTCTGGCCTGTTAACAATGAGCTGGTGTATCTTTGATGTGGCAATTGATTCGTGACGGTTATTTTTCGTCACAGGAAATGGGTTCAGGCTGGACTAACTAGGCCTCAGGCTCTATCGTGACGGTTTAAAACCGTCACCGTTTATGTTAATCCGTGATGGTTTTCGACAAACCGTCACGCATGTCAATCCATGATGCTCAATCCGTGATGGTTTCTGAAACCATCACAGATGCTGTTTACTGACGGTTTTTCAGTGATCTGTGACAAAAATTTTCCATCATGGATTAACAGGATTCTTGTAGTGATATATCTCATCGGCTTCTCAAAGTATTACCACCAATTTTCTGAAAACAGGATCTTGAAATTTTCACTACCGGGAACTCTACTAATAGCAGCTTTGGTAATATATTTCCAGAAGACATTGGTTAATATTCTTGCATGATTGATCACACCGGCTGTCTTTATGGGACCCTATTACCAAACTGGAAATAGCCGATGCGCCAATATTAGCTGACACCTCTTCAGATTACCCTTGTAGAAATATCGACTGTCCATATGACCGTTATGAACTTTTGCTGCTGATTTTCTTCAAGACGATATCCCTCTTCAGGTTCCCTTAGGAAAATTCAATTATTCAAATATATCGGCCAACACACTTTTCACCTTACCTTTCATGACCACTAATAGTAACCGAGATAAGGCTTCGACCTTTCCAGCAAACAACAACTCTATTAATATTTTCATTAGCTGTCCAGGTCGTCCAGGATGAGCGCGCAGATGGATGGAGATCTTCCAATATTTTAATCGAAATAAAATTGCTGTGAAAACCTTCATGGGGATTAATGAGCCGATTACCCCACCTATGGCTTCATCGGCTGTTGACTCCTCCGGTTGTCTTGCATCAATATTCTCTGACCATGTGTCGGTACTAAAAGAGCTGTATAATCAATCGCACTAGCTTCCGTGTTGCTTGTTATTCGGTGGACACGAATATCACACCGGCCTTATAGCTAAGGACTCGAATCTCTTACCATGATTTTCTTTATCGATTGCAACGAAGGTCGTATTAGTTTCATATAGCCGATTGTACCCATATCGGCTCCATATAGATGAGTGTGTGTTTAGAGCACCATCGACGTGTCCAAGCTTTCAAAGTCGCATACGGTCGGTTACTATTGAGGTACCTTCGCTAGCGGCTGTTTCACCCGACCCGACCACGTTGCGTCTGCCAAGCTAGATGGTTCCATAGCCTGATGCCTTAGCTGAAGTAGAAACTGAGCCAGTACTAGCCCCCCAGCTGATCTCTGTATATCTGTTCTTGGAGTCGATGGAGGTGAGTAGCCGATGGAGGTGAATAGCCGATGAAATTCAGCTCAATGTGATGCACCTAGACTCTCGATTCTTGGTTGCTTGTAGTAAAAGACCTCAACGGCTTTTACTGGTATGCGTGCCATCGGCTGTCATAAGTTGAAGCTTTTGAGCTTGACGATGGGTTTGGCGTCCCCTTGAACGTGTGCAGCTCACAAACCTGACTACCTTGGCATACTTTACAACCTGTTCGAAGAGCTCTGACGACTCATGGCAATCCTGGTTGTCGCCGAAGAAGTCGGAATTGGTGGTAGCCTGGTTGAGGTTGTGCAATATCCTCTGCACCATGGCTAGCGCTTCTCGTTCACCCTCACCGTAGCTGGTGCAGTTGGCAAATATGGTGCCCATGCTCAGTCCGGGTTTATCAGTACGATGTCCGACGCACTCTGGGCTGCATCCATCACGTCATCCATTGCGATGTTGATGTCCGTCTTCTCCAGTGCCGATGTGTCGTTCACGTCATCGCCGGCATGCCGTAGATGTGTCTAGCCACTTCATGATCTCGTACTTGCACTCTAGAAACATCCGGGTGGATCCGTCTGCCTTGTCAATCAGACCGTCCTTTGCCGGTTTCGTTGCCGTCTTGCAGGGTAGTGAACAGGTACAAGTTGCTGCTCATGCCAAGGCGACGCACCGTTCCTTTGCCGATATCCTGCTGGTAGAATTTATCCATGACTCTCCAAGCCGATGTTATTGTTATCAGCCAATACTCCTCTGCGCATGGCCACATCGGCTACTCTTGTGGGAATATTATATTTGCAACCTTATCCTAAACTTGCCGCTCCAATTCTGAGTTATGTGGCCATCTTGCGATTTAAGTTCTGTCAATCGGCTTGTCTCGTCAATGTTTCTCCAGGATACACTGATTACGTCGGCTGTCTCTGTTGATGTAAGCGAACTATAATTAGCCGATGTGTATATTTTGAGTGAAGCCCTATCACCAGATTTCTTGAATGAACGTAAGCAATTATGCTCTTTCTCCTTTGATATGTACGCATATGTACTTTTCAATCAAATAAACTTTGGTCCGCCCACAGAGGATGGGAATCAACATGCCATCGGCTATCACTTTATAATCCTTTTTTTATTGACTAAAGTACAGAAGAACCTGGCTGATGCTCTATCCAGTTGGTATAGAAACAAATAATTCGTACATGCTGGAGTAGTGTGCCAATGGATGGCTCTGGACATATAAGTTCTGTACCTAATGTCTGTGTCCGTCCGGCTAACTGACGAAGCATGCATACATGCCGATGTACGCCAGCTTGGGTGACGGCAACACCACGTATCGGCTCATCGGGTATGATGGAGCATCTTGGAGCACATGGGATGAAGGAGCATAAATCCCTCCGTGTAATCTTCTTATGAGCGGCGTTCGACAGGGACCCCATCGGCAGATAGCTTATCAACTTGGGGACAGAGTCTTGAACCTCAGCTAGGATAGTAGCCGATCCTACTTCATGAGCAGTTATTGACCCAAAGTCTTGAAGCCGATAGATGTGAGGGAGCAACACTACGTAAAAAACGGTTTTAAGCAACGGTTCAATTTTTTTTATAGGGACGGCTGGTGATGGAGCCGCTCCTACAGTGGCTTGCTCGGGTGCCCAGACATCAGTCGCCTCTACAAATGGAACAGCAGGGGCGGCAGGTGATACGAGCCGCCCCTACAAATGGAGTATGATTTTTAGGGGCGGCTCAATCACCAGCCACCTCTAGAAATGGTATTTGTAAAGGCGGCTGATGATTGAGCCGCCCCTAAAAATCATACTCCATTTGTAGGGGCGGCTCGTATCACCAGCCGCCCCTACAAATGACCCCCATATAAAACTGAAGCATCACCTTCTTCCTCCTCGGGTCATTCACTCCAACCCGTGAAAGAAAGTTGGGGAGGGCTTGGGCACCTCCCAAAAATTGCTCTACTAAGGGGGGAAGGTTTTGGTCTCAAATCCTTTGGTGGAGAGGTTGTAGAAGGTAAGAAAATTCTATTCCACACTTTTTTTTGAAGTTTTAATGGTTGATTAGTGAATAATTAGAGTTTTGTTTTTCTCTCTCTTCTATGGTGCTTGAGCTATTTATGAGCAAATTAGACCCAACTTTTAAATGTACTAGGGTAAATTAGGGAGGGGAACAAGATCATACCCTTATTTGGTCCATGTTTCTTGATTTTAGTGAACCATTAGTTAGTTTTATGGATGTTTCATGTGCATGTGATCTAGATCTAGGGTTTGGTTTTTTTATTAATTTCGTTTTTGTAAATTTATGTTTGATAAAATTGGACTAGGGTTTGTACGAAAGATATTGTGTAAAGTATAATTATTGCTAATTGTTGTCTTTGAAATTGTTTATTGTAATCAATAAATATGTATTTTAATTATTTATGGATAAATGGGTCATTAATTAATTTTCCTCTACCATGGTGTGTTTGTATGCTTCATGTAATTATATTAGATTTATATTCATATATATCTGAGGTATATACAATTATTCTCAAATAATTATTACTTTGATTAATTTTTATATATATTTGAATAAGTAGTCCTTTAATGTTTATTTTGTTGTTGTTGTAAAAGATGGAGTACAGGAACTCTTGGATGTATGGTTCGTTAAGGTTCAAGGCAGGTTTCCGTGAAGAGGTGGATAAATTTATTGAAGCCGCAACGAAGCATGCAACGACATTGAAAGAGAATAAGGATACAATTATTTGCCCTCAGAAAGATTGCGGGAACCGTATGGCATGGACAGATGTGACTATCATCGATCACATTTGATTATACGAGGATTTGTTGAGGACTACACAAAGGTGGATTCATCATGGTGAAACGGTTATTGTTAACGACGAGGATGAGGAGGAATACGACGATGAAACCATAGAATCCTCATCCCAATATTCAGCCGAGCTTGATGCACAAATGGATTTCGAGTTTGGCAATGAACAAGGTGGTGATGCTGGTGGTTGGGATGGTAACGACGAAGGTGGTGCCAATAATGATGGTGGAGCACGTGTCGGAGTTGAAGATGATTTAGATGACATGATTCGAACCCTTGGACCAGAGATTTTACTAAATAGCCCGAAA